CTGGGTTGGGGGGGTGGGGGTATAATGGGGGGGTGTTAAGTGGACATTACAGAAAAAAGGATTGCTGGCAGAGTTCTCCTTTATCACCCCGAACACAACACACCACGGAAATATTTTAGCTTTTATTTTAGGATGAAATAGAAGACAATTAGAAATGTAAAATCACGGGAAGATGATCAGCCGAGGTGTGCGGGAAATGAGAAGATGATCGCCCGAGGTGTGCGGGAAATGAGATGATCAGCCGAGGTGTGCGGGAAATGAGAAGATGATCGCCCGAGGTGTGCGGGAAATGAGATGATCGGTTAGGGTGTGCGGGAAATGAGAAGATGATCAGCCGAGGTGTGCGGGAAATGAGATGATCAGCCGAGGTGTGCGGGAAATGAGAAGTTGATCGGTTAGGGTGTGCGGGAAATGAGAAGATGATCAGCCGAGGTGTGCGGGAAATGAGAAGTTGATCGCCCGAGGTATGTGGGAAATGGGAAGATGATTGTGACGGACTCCCGGATACTCTGACTGGATATCTCTGTCTTAAGCCGGTTCCCTGGGTGCTGGAACCAGAAGCCAGGGAATATAGCATGGGGGGCTTACCCCAAGAAGCAGACAACACTGACTTTGGAGTGAAACATGAACTGCTTTATTGAGGAAAGCGCACAGAGTTTATACCTCACAGGATCAGATAGGAGTGCAGTGTGTTACATTGACCAATCCACCCAGACAGCCGGGTGCCGCATTGGAATTCCTTAATTAGATAAGGAGCTTGATCCCATCACTCTAAACAATGGCCCCTCCCCCAGACAGCCTGCTGCCTTCAGAAACATGGTTCAAATCAAGTCAAATAGTGAAAAGCTCTCTCTAGATAAAATATTAAACGGGAAAACACACCGCACACAAAGTTCTCCGGGGTAATAAATCTCTGCATCCCTGGGTCCATCACAATGATCACCCGAGGTGTGCGGGAAGTGAGAAGATGATCACCCGGGGGGTGCGGGAAGTGCAATTACCCACATCAGCCAATCAGGTTTCATCTCTCATCTGTTTGGCTTCAGTGAATTGTATACAGTAGTACTCAGGGGTCAGGGACGGGGTCACTCTCAGGGCTGGGGGTTTGGCCATCTGACGGCTTTGGTCACACACAAAAGCAGCACAAACACAGAAATAATAAAACATAAAGTGCACTGGCTGGAATGATGGCCGCATACACAGGAATCACATGTGAGGCTTTACCCAGAGTCCTTTGCACTAGTCTTGTCCTGATGTTGGGCTTGGTGCGGATGAGGGTCTAGTAATGCTCCGGATGGTTCTGCAGACAGGAGATGAATTCCTGGACGGGACGCCCTTCATAGCAGATGCGGAAAACTGCCACGAACAGGGGAAACCTGCAGACAAGGACACAATCAAATATCCAGCGCAGTCTATGTTATACAGGCTTATGAATGAGAGATCGGTCAGTGAGCATTTTACTCGAGAAAGTTTACAGAAACACAATTTAGTTTTCGTACGATTTCCTTCAAATTTTACAAAATCATTTTCAAATCTGAAATCTGTCCTATTTATACCGAAATAATCCAGACAATGTATATAAACAATGTTACTTTGTATCTCTATCTCCCTCTGATCAATGTTTATATACAATGTTACTTTGTATCTCTCTATCTCCCCTCTGATCAATGTTTATAAACAATGTTACTTTGTATCTCTCTATCTCTCTCTGATCAATGTTTATATACAATGTTACTTTGTATCTCTATCTCCCTCTGATCAATGTTTATATACAATGTTACTTTGTATCTCTCTATCTCTCCTCTGATCAATGTTTATAAACAATGTTACTTTGTATCTCTCTATCTCTCCTCTGATCAATGTTTATAAACAATGTTACTTTGTATCTCTCTATCTCTCCTCTGATCAATGTTTATAAACAATGTTACTTTGTATCTCTCTATCTCTCCTCTGATCAATGTTTATAAACAATGTTACTTTGTATCTCTCTATCTCTCCTCTGATCAATGTTTATAAACAATGTTACTTTGTATCTCTCTATCTCTCCTCTGATCAATGTTTATAAACAATGTTACTTTGTATCTCTCTATCTCTCCTCTGATCAATGTTTATAAACAATGTTACTTTGTATCTCTCTATCTCTCCTCTGATCAATGTTTATAAACAATGTTACTTTGTATCTCTCTATCTCTCCTCTGATCAATGTTTATAAACAATGTTACTTTGTATCTCTCTATCTCTCCTCTGATCAATGTTTATAAACAATGTTACTTTGTATCTCTCTATCTCTCCTCTGATCAATGTTTATAAACAATGTTACTTTGTATCTCTCTATCTCTCCTCTGATCAATGTTTATAAACAATGTTACTTTGTATCTCTCTATCTCCCCCTCTGATCAGTGTCTATAAACAATGTTACTTTGTATCTCTCGGTCAGATGGTTTGGCTTCTTCATCATATTTACACAGCAAATTCCACCCGCCATTTGGACAATGGGGAATTGCTGTTACAAGTGTAAAGGTGGCCATACACTCTACAACCATCGCACGACCTTAGTCTTGCGATGGTTGTAAAGGGATTAAAAAATTCGTCCATATATACAGCACAGTAAATGAGTGTTGTCACCGTAGGACAGGAAATGTGTTACTGGCCGGATCACCAGATCGATGTATTTCTGTGGCGGGTGCGGCTCGGTGTTCCTGATTAGCGGCTCCGCCTGTAGAGATCAATGACAGACTGAGAGGCTCCATAGCTGTCCACATGGAGAGAATCCCTGCACTTAGGAACCGATGTGTGGCCCCGGACACAAACAGTCTGCATACAGGGCCACTCATCTATTCCTAACCACGTATCATCATCATTCCTGAGCAATTACATACAAGTAGCTGCAGACACTGTAACCCCGTCATTGGTTTGTATCGGCTTCCTGTCCAGAGGTGACCCAACGCACCACCACCCTGATCTGGGCCGGGTATCTCACTACAAGATTCTCCGCGCTCTCTAACAATGTGAAATGTCCACAATGCTCTGCCAACCAGAGACCATGTGATCAGCCTGTCCAGGCTTTAGTTACATTGTTCTGTCCTATCAGCGTATCTGGCTACATATGTGTTCTGTGTCAGCAGCTGAAGCCACGGGATCACCATGACAGCCCAGCAGGCAGCACTCTCAGCGCTCAGCAATGGCCGCCGTCCTGCCTGCTGGAAGGTTCCAGAGAACAATCTGCGGATCCTCCCTCTTACTTTTCTATGGCGTCCTTCTGTCTGAGGATCTTGTAGACCTCGGCGGAGGCCGGCGGGCCCTGGAGCTTCTGTCCGTCCAGCATGTCTCTCTCCAGCTCCGCGATGGACTGAAAGAGAAGCCGCGTCACACCGGAGAATCCGCGTCACGTATTCCCGCGCCCCGCCCCCGAGGAACTCCCGGCACTCACTTTACCAGACCTGGCGAAGGCTTCGGCCACTCTGCGGTTGCGGCCTCCGTAACAGGTGGTGATGAGGTCGGCGATGCCGCAGCTCTCCAGGAAGGTGCTGGTGGACGCGGCGCCGGTGCAGAAGAGACGAGCAAACGCCACCATTTCCATCAGACCGAGCCGGATCACCGCGGCCTTCGTGTTATCACCGAAGTCCAAACCGTCACAGAACCCGGCGCCCACCGCGACTATATTCTGACATGAGAGACGACACTCCATGACACCAACATACGCCGCAATGCAGTACAAGAGGATTATACCGAATATCAAATCATTCCTAATCCGGCCTCCCCTTCAGTCTTCTATCTGACCTCCGGCCTCCCCTTCAGTCTTCTATCTGCACTCCGTCCTCCCCTTCAGTCTTCTATCTGACCTCCGGCCTCCCCTTCAGTCTTCTATCTGCACTCCGTCCTCCCCTTCAGTCTTCTATCTGACCTCCGGCCTCCCCTTCAGTCTTCTATCTGCACTCCGTCCTCCCCTTCAGTCTTCTATCTGACCTCCGGCCTCCCCTTCAGTCTTCTATCTGCACTCCGTCCTCCCCTTCAGTCTTCTATCTGACCTCCGGCCTCCCCTTCAGTCTTCTATCTGCACTCCGTCCTCCCCTTCAGTCTTCTATCTGACCTCCGGCCTCCCCTTCAGTCTTCTATCTGCACTCCGTCCTCCCCTTCAGTCTTCTATCTGACCTCCGGCCTCCCCTTCAGTCTTCTATCTGCACTCCGTCCTCCCCTTCAGTCTTCTATCTGACCTCCGGCCTCCCCTTCAGTCTTCTATCTGCACTCCGTCCTCCCCTTCAGTCTTCTATCTGACCTCCGGCCTCCCCTTCAGTCTTCTATCTGCACTCCGTCCTCCCCTTCAGTCTTCTATCTGACCTCCGGCCTCCCCTTCAGTCTTCTATCTGCACTCCGTCCTCCCCTTCAGTCTTCTATCTGACCTCCGGCCTCCCCTTCAGTCTTCTATCTGCACTCCGTCCTCCCCTTCAGTCTTCTATCTGACCTCCGGCCTCCCCTTCAGTCTTCTATCTGCACTCCGTCCTCCCCTTCAGTCTTCTATCTGACCTCCGGCCTCCCCTTCAGTCTTCTATCTGCACTCCGTCCTCCCCTTCAGTCTTCTATCTGACCTCCGGCCTCCCCTTCAGTCTTCTATCTGCACTCCGTCCTCCCCTTCAGTCTTCTATCTGACCTCCGGCCTCCCCTTCAGTCTTCTATCTGCACTCCGTCCTCCCCTTCAGTCTTCTATCTGACCTCCGGCCTCCCCTTCAGTCTTCTATCTGCACTCCGTCCTCCCCTTCAGTCTTCTATCTGACCTCCGTCCTCCCCTTCAGTCTTGCACAGTTGTACCGCCTCCTCTGATGTCACTGCACACTGGGAGCGTCTCACAATGTGCGTTAGAAGCTGCAGCCAGTCAGATAGAGTCCGCCTCCCTTCCTGGCTGGCGGACGTCCAACATCATCTATCACTTTCCTCCCCAGCCTGATTGTCCCTGGACAGATTGTTGGGGAGATTTTTACCTTCAGCGCTCCGCAGACCTCCACAGTGTCGCAGTCCTCCACCACCGTGATACGGAAGTTTGGTGTCTGCATCAGTTCCTTAAAGATCTGTCCATGTTGAGGATTCTTACACCCTGCGGAGACATCGGGAAGACGGTGAGCAGCCGCTGACACCCCGGGGTGTATGATGGGGGGGGGGAGGGGATGCTGAGCCTCAATAATGAATACAAATTGTGGAAACGTTTTCCTTATTATGATTCTTCTGATCTCCTCGGGACATTAAGGGTTACGTCCACCAATAAGGGGATCGGGGGGGTGCAGGGGGTGAAGAGAGGAGTCCGAAGACTCTCTACAATTTTTCTGAAACTATAAAGCGGCCTCCTCTGATCACATGACACAAGGGGCGGAGCTTTACAATAGAGTATGTGCCTAGGCATTATGTCACACGGCAGCCAATCAGGAGGCAGATTTAAATTGTGAAGCGACATGTGACCCGGGATTCCAGAACCAATCTGCTTCTTCTGATCTCCACGCTTCTGTCCTCCCATCCAGCCTCTGACTACTCGGAGACCGCCCAGCATACGATGCGCCCCAAAGCATCCTGCGTCATCTAGTGACGCCCAGCGCACCCGTCTGACCTACTATGCTCCAGCCCCAAGTACCCCTCAGTACCCCCTACTGCCCCTCCACCCTCAGTACCCCCTACTGCCCCTCCACCCTCAGTACCCCCTACTGCCCCTCCACCCTCAGTACCCCCTACTGCCCCTCCACCCTCAGTACCC